AGTGGGAGTCGGTGGAGAAGGTCCCGTGGTGGACTCGAACCCACGACCCGCAGTCACAAGGACTCCATTGTGTATCCATGTTTTGACTCTGATATGTTCTGATTGTCTCTTGATGCGACAAATATATGTATCTGTGACGTAAAAATGACTATATAAACCATGTCCTGACTTGGTTCTGTCTGAAAAAACTGAAAAAACTTAAACCTGAAGGAAACTGAATAAACTTCCAGGAGCTCTGGTGTGTCACAATCCCGTCTCTGTGCTTCATCTTACAAAGAAACTAGAATATAAGACATATTTTCAGTTATTTCTAACTTTTTTTTAGTACGTACACAATTCCACATGAGTTAGTTCATAGTTTTGATAACGTCAGTGTGAATCTATAGTTTTCATAATCGTGAAAATAAAAAACTATTTTAATGAGGGGTGTCCAAACTTTTGGTCTGTACTGTTTGTAGATTCGCTGATGATCTACCACATAATCCAAAAACTGCGGGACCATGTGACGCTGGAAAGGTTCAGTGCCCTATCAGCTGAGAATAGGCCGGTTTTGTTGTCTCTGGTCAACTGGGCCGGTGAGAATTGATACTGCAGTACCGTGGGTGGCCTGTCAGCACTGGAGATGGGCAAAGGCTAGTAAAGGTATCCCTGTTTGGAGCACTGCCTGATAGTGACATTTTGAAGGACTCCAAGCAGGCTGTCATGTGTCTTTTATTGGGGAAAGACTACATTTAACTTATTTTACATTAAGGCTTGATTGGTGAAGTGTGTCCTTCTATTGTACAAGGTTCTACCATTTGCTCTGAGTAATACTGAAGCTCTAACAGAGTGACATCGGGTTCTTGGTCACCTCATCAATCAAGGCCCTTCCCACTCAGATTGCACCGATGGCCAGCTCTGAGAGGGTTCAGAATTTTGACTGTTCTTAATGATGGACCCACTACGTTTTCCAGAATACATCAAAGGCTGAAGATCTTCCCCCCGATCTGTGCTTTAAGCAGGTTGTAGCAACACATAAGTGGAAACATCTGAGCTCAGTATTGAGTGTTTTAGCAAAGCATGGAAATACTTATGTGCATGTGATGATTTGAGGTTTTATATTTAGGCCAATGGCAAAGTCAGCAAAAGAGTATTGCCAGTAAATTGAAAGTAAAAGTATACAAATGTAATACATTTTAGAATAAGGTTGTAACATTCCAAATTGTATAAACAAATATGAATACTTAAATGTATTGATTGGGTTGCAAGCCACATTACAAGCCGCTAATAATTGTATGCAAATGCTTTCACAAAAAAAAGTTTTAATGTTTTATTTGTCCATTACTCCCCCCCGGCTCACCTGAACATGCCCACATTAGTCCATACTTATTCACAGATGTGTTTAGGCTAATTTTAAATCTTTATTTGCATTCTTACCAATATTCATAATTACAGATTACACACTACACATCTGAGCACACAGTTTGGGACCTCTGTTGTTGGGCGGTTTCTCTTATGGATTTATAGCCTGGGTGTGACAGTCATTATGTTACCATGCAGCATCTGATTACTTAGCTAAAAATATCCAAGATGAGTGGGCTGAGTGCTAATAGTTTCACATTAACAGAATCAAAGCTCAATGGAAATGACATTTGATCCATGGAAACAGAAATACTTCCCCTTTGGGTTCCCGGAGTAACAGAATCTATGTTTAGAAATTGTGAGCTTCATATATTCTGCAAAGTTCAAATGGGAATAAAAGTAAATTGTGTTCCACTCTTTTATTGTGTTGTGGGATTGACATTAGTATAGACAGACACAGCTGAAAGAAAATATCCATCCATCCATTTTCTTCCCCTTAACCCATTTCTGGGTCGGGGGGGTGGCAGTCAGAGCTGCCCCCAGTACACTTAGCACCAGTCCCTCACTGATCCTCCTGCAGGTGGTGAGTCCACAGGAGCCTACATTTACATTTACTGTCATGTACTATTGACCAAAATTGGCTTTGATGATTATCTAAAGGAGCAGAAACAGTAATGCTCTGGAGCCATTTATGGACATGTATGAATCAGAATCAGAATTATTTTTGTGGTAAATAACTTGTAGTCCTCTCTATATTGTATCGTCTGTGTTCAAACTGTTTGATTCTCTGATCTGTTGGTGAGGAATCAACATTTGTTCTTCTGTGAAGCAAATTGAGTGTCCAAAAAAGAGCTATTTAAGTTTGGTGTATTATTATAATATTATCATAACTTTGTAAAAGTCCTCAGAGATGACTGTTGTTGTGATTTAGGCCTAAACAAAAGGATACATGTCTTTATATCCATTAGTATATCGTGTAATGGCCAATACTGAATTAGAACTGTATATCTTATTTTTTACAACATACTCAGACATCATACTTTTCTACACCTCTAATACAGGGCTAAAGTCCAATCGCAGGGTTATTGATGTCTTTGGAGGGGACTGTTGTGTGTTTTTCATACTCCTTAATATATTCATCATGGACCATGTGTTTGTAGGTGAGGCTTAAACACACTGAACTTTGAACTCACATACTGTATATTTCTTTTGAATGGCACAAACATGACTGAGACCCGTGTGAATCTGACCTCAGGTCAGTTTGTGCAGCAGCTGCTCCTGTGGGCAGTGTCTTCAGGTGTGTTTGTTATGCAGATGGACTTTAAGTGCTGCTCGAGTGTCCGTTTGCTCAGACTCACTGCTATTGTTGGACTTCTTCCAAGTGGGGGATACAGTTGTGTTCTTAGAAACAAAACGTTGACCTTTACCTGCAAATATTTTTGCAAGTAAAATGTCACTATGTGGAGTGAGAGGAAATGCCCAAAAATAACAATTGTAAACCGCTTTGTGACTCTGGTCTGTGAAAGGCGGTATATAAATAAAAATTACTTACTTACTTAGTTAATTTTTACACTTCACAACATTGCTTTTCAAGTGAGTGCCTTTTTAGTTCCTTACATACCTTGTGGTGTTACCTTACCATACCTTAGCCACAGCTGAAGGCTGATGAGAGGCTGAATCATTGGGGGGGACCAAGAGGCCATACTTGTGGATCCAGTGTCTTGCCTAAAGGACACAGCAGTTTGGGGTTTGTCATAATTATACTGTGATTCATATTCATTCATATTCACACAAATAAAGCTTGATAATGAGAAGTGTTAACTCTAGAGGTGCTATAGCCCTAGATTTATGGAAGCTATAACTCTAAATCAAACCATCTCATGATTGCTGGCTGCATGATTTTTTTTTTATTCATAGTTTCCTGCTGAAATGCAAATTCCACTATTACAGTATATAAAAACCTCTACCCCTTTTCGTAGAGAATATACCATCCAAAATTGACATAATAAAACAACTCGTACAGCTGTTTGCCCATTTACACCTTTAGAGCTGTTTTAGGGCAGTTCTTGCCTGTTTGAGTCACTCATATCCTCATGTGAGCGAGAAGCCATTGTGCTCTCCACTAAATATTCAAAAATGAGCCATGGGTGAAACAGATTATCATATATAGCAGACAGGAACGCTTCATGGCCCCTTTAAGGCATGAATCCGCCTTCTATCACTCATTATAGATGCAAAGCGACAAAATGTTTCCCTGCATCTCGTCTCGCAAACCAACCTGATCGAGAGCGGCCGAAGTAACTGTTTTGCAACCTCACCGCATTCTGTATCAGAAAATAATTACAGTACATAAACTACGTTTGTTACATTGCTTTGACTTCACTGTGCTTAAAATGCACATAATCGATCCGATAACTGAATAAAATATAGTGAAGAGTTTTGAAAATGTCATCGTAAAAAGAAGACAGGATAGAGGATAACGAGCTACTTGCTAACTCCTATCCACAGCACAAGGATTTCAGAAAAAAAAAAACACCATTAAAATGTAAAATCTTGCTTAACTTTGTGGTTTTGGATGTTTGATTAAATACTATACTCACAGCTAGCTGATTGTCTCAAGATGAGTTCTCAGAATTATTTTTTTTAAAGCCATAAGTGGATTTAAAAAGGAACTTTAGGTCTGCCCACTTCATAGCTCTATACTTTCCACCTGGTTCCTATACAGCTGACTTTGGATTAGTGTGTCCTGGCCTAGCTGGTTATATCTCAACACACCTGCCATTATCTTGGTTTATGTTCATGTTTTAAACATCTCTATGCAGAATAAATGATTTGGAATCATGCAGAAGATGTGTCACCATCAGAAAACCGTAATGTGCTACGGTTTGGGTTATTTATTGTATTGGCCATTTATCAATCATGCATCCATCCATTTTCTCCCACTTTATCCATGCAAAGCTTCACAGACGTCTTCCAACTATTTCAATGGAATCCTGAGGAGTTCCCAGGTCAGCAGGGAGACATATAGTCCCCTCAGGGTGTCCTAGGTCTTCCACAGAGTCTTCTCCCAGTGGGACATTTCCAGGAGGGTGCTTTTAGGATTTGCTGAGATCAGGGACAGTAATGTATTCATATACTGCAAACTGCTGACCCCTGCGCTTACAGGGGTCTTGGGTGGCTTCCCCCAGGAAAAAAAAAAAACTAAGATGGATGGAAAAAATCCTGTATTTTGCCACATTTTTTGTTTATATTATATTTGTGTTAATTCTTTGTCCTATAAGCAGATACAGTAATTAGATATACTGGGAGCATCAGCGAGTTTAATCATTTTGGATTTATTGTTTGATGCTTTGTGCTTTTAGTTGAAAGGAAAGTAAAAAGTAACTCACAGGAATTCTTACAAGTTTGCAGATAAAATATATTCTAATAAGATGAAGCCAACATAGAGTATTATTTATGAAAGTTACAGATACCACAGCTTTAATGTTACGCAAAAGTTCAGCATGTCTCAATCATCTTATGGCAAAATAGCGGCCAGCACAGGCCTCACAAATTGCATGTTTCTCTTTTCGTCAACTGTTCTTTTATTTTTATTTTTATTTTTTTAAACCCCAACTATATTTCGTTCTATGGGGACAGATGCAGTATGGAGCAGCTGGATGGAGAGGGGGGCCAGCCCAGTAGCAAGCGGATACACGGGAGGAGCCCACGCCTTTTCCATCCCATACATGTTTTACCAGCGCCTTCATTCAGCGCTCCTCAAAACACGCACCTCCTGCCAACTGACGAGGTAAGACGTCACTGCGCCTTTTCGACTGAATTAGCAGAGTTTTTTGCCCCCACGCGCTTTTGCGAGGCGCTTGTTGCCGCGCGTAAAGTTGCGTGGATTATTACGCATGGCTTCAGAGTGAGGGAATAGGCTTTGACGGGTATTAGCGGCTTGTAATGAGGCTTGTAGTTCGTGCGCGTCATGCACGGTCTGTCCCGGCTCTGCAGTGGGCTTACGGGACAGCCAGTGCAGAGGCGACAGGCTGTAAACGGAGACACATCTGTTTAGCGCTTCTAATTGAGCAGATGACTGTTCTTGTGCAGTGATTTACTCCCGCTGTAAAATGGTCCAACTGCAGACTATAGTTGTTACGTTCAAAAGCATTCTTTTAAAGGGGACACGTTATTCTCGTGCCTGGAGCGCTTTGAAATAAAGCCTCTTCATCTGACTGACTGCTGCATGTTGGAGAAGTTCTGCATCATATGAGTATTCAGAAAATGTTCAGCTCTGTCCCTGAACTTGTGTTTATCAATTGGAGCATATATGGAGCTGTCATTCATGTTCTGCTTAATTTTCTTTCACAAGCAATGGTGTTGTTTTGACACCGAGAATTCTGAAACTAGTAGAACTCCAAGAGCTGTCATTCTGACTGCTCCATTGACACCAATGGAAAACTGAGACATTCTCAAAAAAAGTTTTCCACCTGATTTATTAAAAGTAAGAAACGTATATGTTTTTCTTCTAAAGTGCTGGAGCTGGTTAATATAACTTGAATTACAACAAAAACACAGGCTTACTGCTGACTGTAAACAGTCTGTTGCTATGGTAACTTGGCTGCTGGAAAACCAAGCTGATGCACCTCAGAACCAATCCAGGACCAGGACCTTAACAAAGGGGTTTTAACTGCCATGAAAAGTGTTTACCCTCCACCGCAAATGGCTTGATTCAAATTGTACTTAAAATCATCGCAGCTAATGATAGAACTCCTCACATTTCAAAAAACAAATATATTTCCTACAAATACTGACGGAGAAATAAACCACATAAAGAAAGAGAAAAAGTCACAAAGTTATGAAGACCAAAAAAGTACATTACACTTCCAAACATAATGTTCCTTCTTTATGATGACATGTATCATATAAAGGGCAGAAAGCCCAACAGCAGACCCACCATCCATGCTTCAGAATTGGGGCTCTCTAAAAAGTCACTATGGCTAAACATTTTAGACCACAAGACATGCTTTATTTTCATAAAACAGTCTTTATCTGGTGAGTGTTTACAAATGTAATGTTGTATGGCTTCTCCCTCCTCCGTTTAGCCCAACAGGATAATGTTGGATAATGATACGTTTGTGGACCATCTGATGCCACAGCACTTTTGCTTTTGTTTGTGGGTTGACACGCACATTTTGGACTAAAACATGTACATCTATGGGGCAAGCACACATTTCCTGTTTGAGTGGTAGTAGTAGTAATCTTTATTTATATACCGCCTTTTCACTGCACATCGGAGTCTCAAAGCGGTTTACAATTGTTATTTTTAGGGCATTTGTCCTCTCACTCCACACAGAGACGGGAGCGGGGTCGCCAGTATAGGAGGCGCATGCCAGACCTATTTTAGTGGTAGGGGAAACCGGAGTACCCGGAGGAAACCTACGCAGACACGGGGAGAACATGCAAACTCCACTCAGAAAAGCCGTGATCCGACCGGGATTCGAACCCAGGACCTTCTTGCTGAGAGGCGAGAGTGCTATCCACTCAGCCACCGTGCCGCATATGATTGATGGATTATCCCATAGTGTTTGTATTCAGTCTTTTTTTTTATTTAGTTGAAAATGCCCACTTAGAGCACTAAGTAGAGTTATTTAATACTTAAAGCATATAGGAGTTGTACTCAAAATCAAGAACCAGACTCGTGAACTTCCACAATTTACTTCCCGATGTCTTGACTGATTTTTATTTTCATAAAGTAGACATTTTTAAAACACTATATTCAAACATTTATAACTCATTACATTTGAGCCAATAGCAATAATTGTAGTTAAAACCCAATGAAATAAGTCCTTATCTTTTACTTCAGAGAGTGAAAATCAAGTCTTTTTACAATGTAAAAGCATATGAATTGGAACAGTTTTCTTCAATTGATAAATACTGATTATCAGGAGTTTTTCCTTCCCTTTTGTCCAGGCTTCTCCATGGCGCCTCCACTGTGGCCCTTCACAGCCCTGTTCCTCCTGCTCCTGTCCCATGTGAACGCTTCTTTAGGTTGGGCTGACCTTCAAGTCGAGACCCAGAATGGGAAAGTGGAAGCATTCTACCACCCGACGCAAAACCAGGGCGTATACATTCTGACATTTCTAGGAATACCTTATGCAAAGCCACCTCTTGGGCCGCTGCGATTTCGCCCTCCTCAGCCGGCGCAGAAATGGCAGAAGGTGTTGAAGGCTCACCATTATTCAAACTCCTGCTACCAATTACCAGACACAGTCTTCCCAGGTAAGTTACCGGTTACAGTAATAATAAGTGTAACTGCATTAAGTTATGGTGTTTTTTATCTTAACCAATTGCCATTTGAGTGGTGTCGGTATAAAACTCCCCAACAATTCCTGTTACAATACTATCTTCTACACAGCTCCTTACAAAGTATTTATACAGTTACAATAGTGTAAATGACCTGGCAATGTGAAACATATGACAGACTTGGCAGACATCACTCTGCATGTAATGAGTCTATCATCCACTATATGGAGGTGGGGAGCCATTACTGTAGCTACAGCTGCCATGGCAATGACTGACCAACTTGTGTGTGATTTGTAGGGTGTCATTGTAGAAGAACCTTGTAAACTCATAAGTTTGTGTAAGCCCTCAGTCGTACAGGGATTAGTCAAAGCAAAGGAAGGTTTCTCACCCATCCTCTGTACTTCTTAGCAGGTGATGGGTGAGAAACCTTCCTTTGCTCATATACAAAAAAGGAATTGGATCCACAACTTGTGAGGCCCATGTCCAAAGTCATTGCAATATCAGTTATTTTACATCAAAAATTCATACAAACACATTATCACAATGAAACTCCTACAGATGGTTCTTTGAAGTGGAAATGTCAGGCAAAGCTGCTTTACCGTCTCCAGCACTCAGTGCTGTTTTGAATTCAATTGAATTCAATTTATTCTTGTATAGCCCTAAATCACAACAGTAGTCATATCAGAGGACTTAGGAAAACCATTGAAATCACCAACACAGATCAGAGAATCAACAGTTAAGACACAAAAAATATAGAACACTTTTGATTTTGAAGTGAATCTTATATGTTTAATCTTTATTTTCATAAGTAATCTTTATTCCCTTTCATTCAAGACAACAAGCCTAGTTTCTTTCACCATTTACTTTGCATCAGCTGCTTGTGTGGACTAGTGCGTGTGTTGCGTCTGCGTTTTGTAGTCAGTCCCATCATGTCCTTAAGCATGATGGTTGTGCATGTCTGCCGATGGCCAGCTCCCTTCATATGGGTGAAAAGTGAAGCAGCTCGCACAAGCCTACTCTGCCAGTACACCTCCTCGCCTGTGGCCACACATTGAATCTGAGTAACTTGTCCTCTCAGGACTAAGCTCGGGTAGCCTGGCTCTGCCAGACCCTTGTAGTTCCGCCATGCTCCACCAGAGGCGTTTGGCTGAACCACATGTGTCTGGTATCGAGCCCATAGCGAACGCCTTCCCCAGATTATTTTTTTATCGACCAATCAGGATTGCCGGTGTTACGTGGGGTTTGCACTGCCTTCTCAAGCTTCTCTCATGCAGCATCGAGAGGAATCCAAGATGGTGGCCGTAAAGTCTGCGAATCTTTTTAACACTAGGAGCGCCCCTAGCGGTCAACTGACCGTCACTCACTTTAATATGCTAATTAGTGTATTCAAAACAAAACGCCAGAAGTTGAAATTTTATGACTTTTACTAGGTACTTGTTGTTTATATTTTTGTGTGTTTTGGTTTTGGAAAAACTAAAGAAAACAAGATTTACACGCATTTTAACTTTTCTAAACCACAGCCCTTTCTGCTGCCCCATGGAGATACATGGCGCAGGGGCGACTGTTGTCATAGTAACCTTTCCCGGGGGTTTCTCGCGCCTTATAAAAATGTATCAATATGTTGTCATTAGACTCTAAAGGGACTTTTTTATTATTATTTGGGAGAGAGAGAGGAGTACAAAATGAATAGAGCTGCAAGTAAACGGTATGAAGCCCTGACAGTGCTTCAAGACATTGAATGAGAACAGTCTAACGGAGGTGAGAGATGTCACATTTTGAGGTAGAAAGTGACAGCGGGGAGAACACCTATAATATTCTAAATCTGAACGTAGACCCATAGTGCATTCACGGCACGGACAGCCGTGTTGTAACAAGTCCAGAAGCAATAACGCACATGACCCGCATAATGCCAGCCATACGCAGGTGTCTGTGTGCGCCTGTCGCTCCATTCTGCCTTTTCATTCATCATCAATTACATTATTATATTTATACATACAAGAAGGCAATACAGCAGAATACAATATCGCAATAAAATAGAACAATTAGATGAACTATCAAGGCAGAGTGCAGAGAGAGCGCTGTGAGGCCTCTCGTCACCCGCGGACACTGCAGGAGGAGAGCGACTGTGGGGCAGAAGCGGCCCTCATTATCAATAAGGATATCATTCTTATTTCATTCAGATAACACTGTGTGTTATTCTGCACAGCGCGCACTGCAAGGCAATGATTATAATGTTGTTCTGAGCATAAAGAGCACTGCTTGTCTCAAATAAATACAAATATATATATACATATATTTGTCTTTCTAACGTGTCCCGTGTAAAATTGAAGATTGTACATTGGCGATGGTAGCCTAGCTGATGATCTTGTGTCAATACGAATATTATTATTATCTAGATAATATTTCCCACGGTGATTTCGGCCTCTAAAAAGAAAACAGTCTGGAGATGACGTAAGAAGTAGACGCATATAGCAGCGCGAAGACGTTATGGTCCCGTGCTTTTCTAAACTAATAATTTATATTGTTTGAATTTACATATTGTTATTGAGTCAAATATAACATATAGTGACCGACCTTTTAGGTGTTTGCAAAGTTACAAAATAAATCTAGCCTGAAAAGTCATCGTAATTTTGATGGATCAGTACACGCACAATGTGTCCTCTTAGTCTTTTATTTCGGCTAGAATTACAATTACTTAGCATATTTAGACAAATAATTTACACAGTTTCATTATGATCACGATTCCTTTGCAACATCAAGTTCTGGTTTAGTGAACAATCAATTTGGCAAAAGGCTGTATCAGCGCAAAATACATAGCGGTCAACTGACCGCAGGGGCCGGTGCAAGGTATGTTTAGAGCACGGCGGTCCTAGTGTTAAAAGAGTAAATACGATCGAATTAAGACACGGATGTCACTTTTAATGCAATTTGAGGCGAGATGTTGATGGTTCTATGTTGATATATGTGTGTTTTAAGAGTCAAATGTTCCTGTAAAGTTTGGTTGAAGCACTGGTTCAGTGTTCCTGTTTACACACTATGCAGCAGGGTTGCCAGGTTTGGTGGTTCCCGCATATTTTTTTCCAAGAGACTTGTAGGTATTAAATAAACAGAAAGACAATAAACAGAATCATGATAGCCCAAGTTGATTATATTACGTTTTTAGCCAAAAAATCATTCTGAGTGTTATTTTTTTGTGGGTATTCTCGTGGATTTTGGGCTGGCAAATCTTGGCAACCTATGGGAGCCGTGTGCTTCGATGTGAGTGGTTGAAAGCAGACTTCATTCAAGATAACGGACAAGTGGTCTATCCAATCACATACAAGGATTTTTTTTACAAGGCCCTGCCTTCTGAAATCCAACCACTAAGGCTCAGTACCAGACTCATGTGTGAAGTGCAGCGAACTACATGGGTCTGGCGAGAGTCAGGCTAAAGCTCGGGTGATCTTGGAGCAATAGCGCGCCCAAGATATGTGATATGCAGGCCCTAGCATCCACCAACCCCTGTTCCAGCTAAGGAAGGTCATCCCCAGAAGAAAACAAATGTGCCGACAGTGCACAATTGGCGGCCTAAGCACAGGACTGTTGGGTCTTATGCAGATGACCAGTCTGGAGGAGGCGCTGGTCATCGAGGACTTTCCCATGTCGTTCGAACCCATTTAGTGCATCTGGGAATTGCACCCCCCCCCCTTAGCATTCATAGTGCAGTCCAATCCAATCCAGTTTATTTATAAAGCACTAATAAAAACAACATGGTTGACCAAAGTGCTGTACATAAAAAGACATACACAAATATACATTTACAAAATACAAAACATTGGCAAAAAACACTATTTACAGCAAAAAATCGATTGAAATCAATTAAAAGCCAATTACCCCAGTGAATACAAGAGACAACAAAACGCACAATAAAATGAACGTGCTCAACACTGCCAGAGATAATGATGCAATATTTACTTTCCCTTCTTTTAACAAGACACACAGATTCAGAATAGGACCAGCCATCAAGTAATTGGAACTTGGAAGTAAGGACAACATTGACAACGACTGCTATGTTTATACCTCCGGCAAGGTGGTATAAACAAGGAGCAGGTGCAAATCACTCATTTCCCCAATCAATTCAATTTTTAACAATGAGAAAACAAATTTCTATTCTGATTAAATTCAGATGAAAGTTGATATTGAAAATGTTCTAAATATAACCGATGGCATATTAGATCATATCTTCTTATGGGTCTAGTCTGTATCAAGCCTAATACCTCCATCCTCCTGAACTTGTAGGCGGGCCCTTTACAAACAGAACATTTGAGAAGTAGATCACATTGAGAAGAATTTTAATCTGATTTTGTGCTTCTGTCACACTTGATTGGTCCAGAGAGTGCCCGCATGCACCACAGCTCCATGTATGTCCATGTCTGAGGCAAGGTCGACCTCAGGGGCCCGGGGCACCAGGTCTTTGGAAGAGGATTACAACTGCCATGCTGCGCGCTCATGTCACACTGTACTATAGATAGAACCACGGCAAATAAAGGATGTTGGCATTTACAGCACATAGTACTACATAGATTTAGTAGTAGTCCAATATGTGTTGCCAGAATTTAAACCGCATAAGACATTTGTAGCTTCTATACGCACAGATGCAATCCACTTTAGCAAAAATGGTACGGACTCGGTGCATTGCATATATTCATTGAAACAAACATGTGGTGCACTTGCTTTGTGTGTGAATGAAAGAGACAAAAGCAGCTGGATTTCACCAAAACTGGCGCTACAATTTTAAATATTATGTTTGCATTAAACAGGTGTATTTCTGGGTCTAACCATGTTCCCTTATGGTCTGTTGTCACTCTAATATTAAAGTTTACACACAAACAAATATAGAAAGGGGGCGGGGCCCGGTGTTGCAGTCAGAGGACCAAGGGGAGATATATATTGGGCAAATATAACTCACACATGCATGAATTGTCGGAAAACAACTATAACAGGACAAGGCAAAGGAAGGTTTCTCTCCCATCATCTGTACTTGTTAGCAGGTTTACCCAGGTCTTGGCACGTGGGTTGGAGAAAATTAAAAGACAATTAGCAGATGCCAGAAATCATCCGGTTTAATCTTAGGTGTAGCCAGAGTAGACTTATCCCAAAAAGAGAAAACCTGCAAAGAAGTACAGATGATGGGTGAGAAACCTTCCTTTGCTTTGACTAACACCTGTACGACTGAGAGTTTGCACAAACTTATAACAGGACAAGCGGAGAAAAGTCTATTTTTAAGTTATATGTCCCCTTTAAAAGTCATGGGCTGTAATAATATATATACAGTATTTTTTATATGAATTATTTGGCCGATTATTAATTCAATTATTAGATCAGTTGATTAGAACCCAAACGGTCTCTAAGGTCACATGATTCCCCTGGAGAACATAGAGACTTGTTGAGTTGTTCTGCAGTCTTTTAAACATTATCTTCTTAAAACCTTTTCTCTTTGCATGTTTGTTAATTACTCCATTGTGAGATCAATAAAGTTGATCTCATCTTTTCTTATGTTTACGTTCATGGAAGGCTCAAAAAACGATGAATCAATTGCTAAACTAGTTGACAACCATTTCAATAATTTGTTAGTTAGGATTCATTCGGATCTTGCACATGTCAATAGTATTGTATGTTGCCACCTGCTCAGACTTCTTGCATGTATTTCTGTATTTCTCTTTCATGTCGGGGCTGCTCTTCTCAAATGTACAATGTTATTCAAACACTGAGCAGGGAGTAATGGATCGGTTTCTATTTATAGCCCCAGCCACCTGTCATGGTTTGCTGGAGAGCTTACTACAGTTTGTCCTGGCCCGTGTGTGTTGGTGAATAATGTCCGCATGACTTCCAAATTTAGATACGACACACAAATAGATATACTGAGGATTAGAGCAATGGCCTCAAGAGCAGTGTGCAGGGATTCGCCCATATATATATTTATGTTCTGTCTGTTTCAATCATTTAAAAGCGCCCCTAAAAATAGCCACGCATCTGCTTACGATGAAAAATAAATAAGAACAAGTTTGACTTTACTTAGCTCGAAGAGAAATGCCTTGTCCATTTTAATTATAGACGGGCAGAGGGGAAATAGTTTTAAGTAGGGTGGACTTTTAAACACAGACAAATAAACAAATCATGATAATAAGGTCATTGTAATAATTCTGTCAGGGGCAAAGGAGTCCTCATTTAAATAATAAACAGACAAGAAATAAAAACAATTCCACTATCAGACACATAGGTCTACCTGAGGGGGGCATCCACGTCTGCAAGAAAAATATTTCTTAAGTATTTAATGTTGTCAAAGTAAGACAGTATGGAAAGTTTATTTTTTTTAATGAAGAACAACAGACCGTTTTGACAAGGACCGGGAAACTCTGGGTCCCTCACAATATATGTTGATTATCAAAATATATTTCTTGTATAGTTATATTGTATAATTATTCTGACTGAATTTGGTACAGGGTATTAATGTGGTACTAGGATTGAAGCAGAACTGGAGGATACTTTAAGCCCGGGTATTGTTGACGGGTTCAGAACAGCTTTATTTTCATATGTAATATTACCAATTGCGATTTTTGTCCCATCATAGTAGTAACCAGGCTATGTGCTGCTTAGCTTGTGAGGTCTGATGTTCAGGTGCAGGTGGCGCGACAAACACAAACGACTCCCGAATCTTTGAGAAAAGGTGAAAAGCTCTGCCCGTTTCCTTCCAGGGTTTGTGGGTTCGGAGATGTGGAACCCCAACACCGCTGTGAGCGAAGACTGCCTGTACCTGAACGTGTGGGCCCCCCGGAACAGGTCCATGCCGCAGCCTCAGCCCCTCCTCCCAGTGATGGTGTGGATCTACGGGGGCGGCTTCACCTCCGGGACCGCCTCTCTGCCCCTGTACGACGGCCGCTCCCTCAGTGAATATGGCAATGTGGTGGTGGTGTCCATGAACTACAGGTTAGTTGCACGGAGGATTAATTATGTAGTTGAGTGTTCAGCCCTGGTTCAGTCCTGATGCAGCCCTGGTTCAGCCCTGGTCCAGTCCCGGTTCACCCCTGGTCCAGCCCTGGTTCAGTCCTACTTCAGCCCTCGTCCAGCCCTGGATCAGTCCTACTTAGGTCCTGGTTCAACCCTGGTCCAGTACTGCTTCAGCCCTGGTCCAGTCCTGATTCAGTCCTACGTCAGTCCTGGTTCAGTCCTACGTCAGTCCTGGTTCAGTCCTACGTCAGTCCTGGTTCAGTCCTACGTCACTCCTGGTTCAGTCCTACGTCAGTCCTGGTTCAGTCCTACTTCAGTCCTGGTTCAGTCCTACTTCAATCCTGGTTCAGTCCTACGTCAGTCCTGGTTCAGTCCTACGTCAGTCCTGGTTCAGTCCTACATCAGTCCTGGTTCAGTCCTACTTCAATCCTGGTTCAGTCATACTTCAGTACTGATTCAGCCCTACTTCAATCCTAGTTCAGTCCTGATTTAGTCCTACTTCAGTCCTACTTCAGTCCTGGTTCAGCCCTGGTTCAGTCCTACTTCAGTCCTGGTCCAGTCCTGTGAATATCGGATAGACGCTTCAGCATGTTAGCAGGCAAAGTGGTGTAGTAGTGCTTGTTGTTATTTATTAAACAGGGACATTGCACGATAAATGTGTTGTACCAGCCATAGCTAATTGTTCGTTTTCATCCGTACTCCCTGGACGGGCAAAGTGACAGCAGGTTAACAGTCCTCAGCGAATTAATAAAAAAATGGCATAATTGGCGTTCAGAACATAGAGCTCCGGTTTCTCACAGACAGATGGTGTTCCAGGAGTTCCGGGCTCCTGATACTTTGACAGAGCAGCAGAATTTCACATACCAGGCTCACCTCTGTATATTTGCACATATTTCCAATATTTATCCAAAATAATAGCATTAAATATGTCTTTACGCCATCTTCGTTTGAATACATTATCTGGGAAGATTGTTACCATTTTACTGAGATTTCATGTTAGATAGAGGTCTATGCAAACACAATTCAAGTATTAAGGGCTCAGATCTGCCCCCTATTGGACCAGTGGAGATACGGCTAATATCCTATGGCATGTTTAATGGGCATCAAGAGAGCCTTGCGATCAGATTTTGGAGATGTAACCAAAGATAGTATGAACCTCCAAAATCTATTATCAATATGAGCATCAATGAACCAAAACTAAACTAAACGTGTGAAAGATAAGATCAGATAAACTTTATTGATCTCACAAAGAAGAAATGTACGTGTATGCATGAGAAGGGCTATAATTTTATAATGTGGCCAGCCAGACTTCCCCTCTATGCTAAAAAGAGAAGCATCTGGGAATCTTCTTATGATTTTACAATAATTTACTTTTATTCTTACTTGTAAATTAAATAATTTGGAAGACCATCACAGTCCTTGTTCTATAATATATGATTTGTTTGTCCGTGCGGAGCAGATCCCCTCTCCCATTTTTTTCCCCATTTTTTTTGTTTTCGTACAGCGATGATCCAGGACATTTAGGACATTTATGAACATTTATAATTACATTTATGTGAACTCCCTATGGACAAATCGCTCCTCTAATTGGTTGATCTTGTCTTTCAATCATATCCATCCGTTAACTCCAGATACAGGCACCTTCCGAGACTACGGATCTTTGACAAGAGTTGAAAAAGCATGTAGTCTGGCTGACAAAGCAATTCATTTTATATTTACTTTCAAATGTTTTCAGATTGGGTGCCTTTGGTTTCCTCTCTCTTCCCAATCATCCCACAATCAAAGGTAACGCTGGCCTGATGGACCAGCAGCTGGCTCTGCGTTGGGTATCTCAGAACATTGCTGCCTTTGGAGGCGACCCAGCTAAGGTAGGTGTGGATTTGAAACAAAACTTAAAAGTGCAGCTCCTTGTATTTAAAAACAGAAGCGTTTGTACTGAGTGTGACTGGGTTGCAGGTGACGATATTTGGGGAAAGTGCTGGCTCAGCATCTGTGGGCTACCAGCTGCTCTCCCCGGGCAGCAGGGATCTTTTCCAGAGAGCTGTGATGCAGAGTGGCAGCCCCAACGCTCCCTGGGGCCACCTAAGCCAGACAGCAGCATGGGAGAGGTACAGCTCTGTCATACATGTGCCGGTGGTTTTCATAACGTCATGCATTCAAGCGCATCGCTGTAACAGACTTCATTTCAAATGTGTTTTAAAAATGTCCTCTTCTACTAGATTACAATTATATATTTGAAAATATTACGTCTTAAAAAGAATTGAATTGATCTCAAGCTCGGGTCATCAGACATCAGCGTATTAAAGGAGCTATAGTTTGAATGTTTAGCATGTGACAAATTAAATATCAATCAATCTAGAGAGACCACACTAGAGCGATACTTGTTTGTTTCACAGACTGATGTCTTGGCCTCAAAGCACTGAAGCACTGCTCACTTCTGTGGCGGTGATTTGCGACTGCCTCTTCATGCCATACTGTTGAAACATTATCTTTACATAGTAGTGACACAGTACTGACGTAAACGGCCACATATACAGTACTATTGTATTACTGTTTGTGCTAAAATGCCTGCATCCCTACAAAGAGCATAGTATGAAAACCAAAGCAAGGAACAGTGGGCTGTGTGGATGACTGATAGTATGATGAGAAGTAGGGATGTGAGGGTTGCCAACAGTTAGGGTTGCCAACTAGAGAACAAAAAAATAAGGGACACAATTTGGATGGATTAGGTTTTTAGTCCTAATTTCAATCTACACAGGAATCACGGAATTTCATAATCACAGATTTTAGAATGTAATTTATTGACTACATATAAACAAAACAAATCGTTAGTCAAAAATGAAATTGAATAAATAGGTGGAACTCTTTGGCTGGTTAGGACTTAATGCATTCTTATTAGTCATAAAAAATATGAAAAAGACAAATGCTGTAACATTCATTATGTATGTATATTACAGTAAAGACCATTTACTGTAAAAGCAAATAAAAAAGAAAAACATATGTTGTGATGTTATGTATTCATAAAAAAAAACAAAAAGTCTGTTGCAGTTAGATATGGTCATTATTTATAGTGTCTGAGGGGTTTGTGCAGGTACATGGCTTCAGTATAAGCTATTGTTCGATTACAAATCAAATCAACATAGAGATCATTTTAGCACAATTACTTTTCTTTAAAAAAGTAGATTTCGTGAGCTTTTGATCTCGGAAGTCCGAATCTGGGAATATGACGCTACTTTACCCATGAAACTTCTGCTGTGATGATGCTGTGGGCACGGCCCACGCTGGCGCTTGTGAACATTAAACCAATGTATGTGATCAAGCCTACGCCCCTTTGACACTGATTGGCCGAAAGGTAGACGCTTAAACTGTGATTACTTTGTGTGTGTGTGTGTGTGTGTGTGTGTCGCGTGTGTGACATGCAGTGAGTGAGTGATGCATTTAAGGTGGGACTGAAAATACGAGACAGAAGCCGTCCCGTATCGGTTCAATACGGTACGCACATAGTTTTTCAATAATACGGGACAATTCCGTATTTCAACGGACGGTTGGCAACCCTACATACAGTAAATGAGAGAGTACAACCTGTACTCAAGGGTGTTAATGGTAATAACAGAATTTAAAAGTGTATAATGTTGCATCACCCTTTTTCTGTAAATGATAATTACATCTATCTTCCTTGCTGCTTTGTTGCTATCTTTGGATTGCAGCAGACGTCAGCACAGTGGTGGGAAAATACTCTGAGGCACAGGAAGTAAATATCCCCATTAAGAACCGTGCACATTTTCACTGATTTTGCTGTACATGCCATAGAAAATGAGAAGTTTTGACTCAGAATCAGTGAAAATATACATGGGGAGATTTACATCCTGCATTGATAATAAAGGGTCATATTTCTCACCTCAATTGTTGTTAACATCTATGCCCTATTTATCAAATTATTGATCAACTATTTCATCTGCAGGGCCCAGATCCTGCTGCAGAAGCTGAAGTGTCCTTTGTCCCCTGTGGCCAAGGTGGAGGCTTGTCTTCAGAAGACGAGTGCGGAGGACATAGCACTCACACAGTTCCTGGTTCCTGGTGCATCCCTCATTCATGTCCCATTTGCTCCGATCGTCGATGGGAAGTTCCTGCCGCTCTCAGTCCAAGTAGGTGCGTGTGATGTGTGGGGGGAAGCTTAAGGGGCGAGGATCTTGAGTTAATCTTAAAAGGCAAGAACCATGTTAGACTTGAAAATTCCACATTTGTGACTATGAGTAAAAATGTGATAACACAACACTGATGGTTGTTACAGATTCATTCATTAATCGCTAATGCACTGTTACAAATGTGGTGAGCTTTTGGGGGGGCTTCTCCCTGCATGCATCATATACTGTATGTTTGCTCTGTTTTTACAGAGTGAAAATCACCACACCAAATTTGGGGTATTGAAAATGTTTTTGTGTGGTTCTGTTTGTCTGCATTGCAAAATCAATTGGGCGGATCTGAATTAGCATGTGAAGACAGTACTAAGAAAACCCCAGTAGAGTAAAAATGAGAAACCTCTGGGAGGCCCCCATTGAGGGAAGCATCCACTCCCACGAAAAGACAGGCTGTAGATTTAGTTTTTGACATCAATATTAACTTTTGAAATGTCCAAAATAGCATTCATGTAGTATTGTTTGTGGAGGACAACATACACTTTGTAAGCATCATGCACTAACAGAACAAACTTGATCTTAACTTAGCCTTTTCTAACAGGACATGTTGAACAGCAAAGATCTGCCAAAGAAAGAGGTGTTGTTTGGGCTGAATAAGAACGAGGGCACCTACTTCCTGCCGTACGGAGCTCTGGGCTTTAACAACAGCGGCAACAACCTCATCAGCAGGGAGCAGTTCCTCCAGGGCCTCCCCATCGTCTTGCCCGCAGCCGCCCAGGCCACCAGGGAAGTGGTCATCTCCCATTACACCGACTGGACGGATCAAAACAATATGACCAAGAACAGAGACCAAATGGGCAACCTCTTTGGGGACTACATGTTTGTTTGCCCTCTCCTCGACTTTATTCACAAGTGAGTGCATTTCAAAAAGTAAGTAAGAAAGTAAAATAATATATTTCATGAATTTTATGAGTACATGTTGAAACAAAAACAACAAAAACAGACCTCTTTCTTCTATGAAAGGAAAAAAAACTTTGGGAATTTCACATTGTTCTCAAACAAACCTTTAACATTCACCCCTTGAAGAAAGCAATGTCATTTTTTTTCGGATTTTCAAAGATGTAGGAGCACTAATAACCTAAATCATTTGTAAATTATAGGCCTTTACCAAATGGTCCATACGCAGTTTGATGGTAAAAGTGCCTAAAACCAAGTGAGATGCCCCATTGTGTTATATTTCAGTTTCATGCATGGTTAAAGTAGATATAGTGACTCAGAAGGTGATCTACCAAATGATTGAGGAAACCATTGTTGCTTTAGTCAGGAATTAAGCAATATATACAATCTCTGAACCTCATGGATGAGGTTTTATATAATGTAAAACCTCATCCAAATATGTATAAATACTTCACACAGCTAAATCCAGAAATTTCAACAGATTATACAAAACAGCATTTTTTTCCTCCATGTGTGCAAAAATGCATGAACTGCTTAACAAAAATAAGATATACATTTACAGGGCATGTTCTGGTCCGTTTTTAGTGTGAATGACGGTTTTACAGTGATTAAAGTCGCTCTAAACTAAATTGAGCGGTTACCACCACATTCCAAGGATCTGGCCAAAGGATTTAGAGGTGCCAAAATGTTCAAATCTTCTAACATATTCACATCTTATGATTGACATGATATTGTAAATGCATATTTGAATTTATCTGGGGTACTTTACTTCACATTGAAAGGCCAAAATGTTATAAATCTATAACTAGTTCCTTGCTCTCAAAACAGTTTGGTCCCATTACTAGTTTTCACATGCATGTATTGTTGGCCTCTGTCACAACTTTAGATAGTTTTTTCAAACAGAAAAGCACCACCCTTGTCTGAGTTTGGAGTTTTTGTTTACCATTGCTCTAAATCCCTCAACTTTGAATAGACACAGGAGAAAAAATCATTAAGAAATATGTTTAAAATGTCATTATATCGCTTTTAACCTATCCATGCTTGACTCCAGGTATTCCCAGCACGGAGCCAGGTCTTTCCTGTACTTTTTTGACCACCGCTCCTCCGTAAACCCTTGGCCAGAATGGATGGGCGCCATGCACGGCTACGAGATCGAGTTTGTCTTCGGGGTTCCGCTGCTGAAAAAGCTGGAATACACAAAGAGCGAAGTCAACATGACCAAGAAGTTCATCAAACACTGGACCAATTTTGCCAGAACTGGGTAAATGAAACCAACAAATGAACACAAAAACACTTATATTAGAGTTTGAATTGTTTAAATGGTTTTGGCTAGGGATCCGAGTGTGCCTGGTGAAGCATGGCCCTCCTTCACAGCTGAGAGGATGGAGTATGTGACATTAAACTACCATCATCCAGAAGTAAAACAAAATTTAAAAGCCCCTGAGTGTCGTCTGTGGACCACAGTGGTGCCAGAAATACAAAGAATATCAGGTACGTGGATGTTTGATTCTTGTATCTTTGATTTCATATGCACCTGGCATTGCCTAAAACCTCAATATTCATAATTAATAGCTCCTTGCTCATCCATTTATTCATAACGGGCCAACACAATAGGAATGAAGACAAGGTTTTCATTCTGGTATAGAAATAATCATATGAGAGCTTTTTCAGAAAAATATTCAGTATGTAGTGTTGTATATACTGCTATATTATTACTATTACTATCATATATAGTGTTTGTCTAATTATGTCAATTCCTTGTTGAATGGACCCCACTTTGGGAAGCTGCTGTTGGTAATTATCTGAAGCTGCATCTGAATCAGAAGGAAGGGCAGCCTATCTGTAACTAACTGATCCAAAAGGATAAATAGTTTAATGTTTGTAGTTTTGGAAATCTCAGCATAAAAGATTCAGTTTCATTAAAGAAAAAAAAAAGGTTTGTTACAGAGGAATTCTATTTTACAACCTTCACAACCTGTTCTCCCCATAAATTTATTTGTCTTATGTAAAACTATATTCTATGTAATAATAGCATTTACCAAAAGATCAAACCCATGTGTGGACTCCAACACTGCTTTTACTGCTGATGAAATTCTATACAATGAGACAATATGGCACAACATCACATAACAACCGCATATATAGACCAAAGTTGGATTTTAACTTATTATGCTGATGACTTGCTGATCCCTTCATGATATTCTCAAAACACTTTCTGTGATTTATCCCCACCGCTGTCAGACTGTACAATAAGTCACTTTAAGTCATTTGCACTTGGACTACAAACCTGCACTACTATTGCCACTGTTTCTTTAATTGACACTTTTTTATTGTACATAATATATCCTCCACAGACTATATTATTTTTGCCTTCAACATGTTTGCACACTTCTGTCTTCTGAGTGATTCTATCCATGCCAAATGTGACATGTAAATTTCAATCAATACCTGTAAAGTCTTATCTTATCTTATGAAAGCTCAGATGGATGCTCAGGCTCAGGCTCAGGCTTCCTGCAACACGTGTGCTTTGTAGTACGGAGGAGTGTTGCGTCATGGAGACACGGGGAGGCGGGTTGCCTTGTTTAGCCTGCGGAGGAGCAGAGTACCCTGGCTTCCCCTCCTCTTCAGAGCCTGGGCTGTTTTGGAAGAGCTGTGGGAGGAGGTGGGGGGTGAGGTCAACTCTAAATATTATTGTTCGGTTCCTCCTCTGCACTGACAACTGCACACACTGCAGTTATATTGAGGATGTGTTCTCATCTATCAACTTTACTACGACTGGAACTTCTAAGAGCAGCTTTCAGGTTTATAAAAAAGATCGAATTGTTCTAATCTTTATTGAAGGTGATGTCAGTAACTTGAATTGTATTTCATGTATAAAATAATCTATGTTAATGACCGTGGGACCACTACTATTATGTACAGTAAGTATTTCCCAACTCTTGCGTCGATAGTAGAGCAGTGAAAGATGTGATGGCAGCATTTTAAATCATCCCAAAGTTTAAAAGATAAAGAATTGCATATTGCTGAATACGTGATTACCTGGTCGTGTGAGTCGGTAAATGTTTGAAGACTTCTTACAACAGTCTCTGAAATGTGCTTGACTGAGCTTTATGCAACTTAATCATGCCGAAAACAACTTTGTTTGACTTGAAACTTATGTTTATAATAAGGTATTGGCTGTGATAAAATACTACTGTAACTACATCTGCCCTGGGGCAGAATGACTGAAACGTGGCAACCTGTATGTGTGATACGCCCCTTTCGACTACTAAAAATCTTTAGGCAATGTGGATATAATGTCTAAGGACACAAAAACAGGTGGCACCTGTTGTTCCCAAAGGTCTCCCATCACAGTACTAACCAGACTCTGCTCTAGTTAGCTTCAGTGTTGAGCAAGTTACTTACTTTTGGATTAATTTGTGTCATGAAAAAGATAACAGAATCATGTTTGTAAGTTTGCTTTAAAAATGTAATTTAAATAAAGGTTAAAAAAGTTGTTCAAAAAGGCCTCAAATGGCAAAAAATTAAAATCAAAATAAATGTATGAACGAAAAAATATTTTTACTGTCACTTGTTCTGTCCAATTCAACCCCACATTTCACAGAGAATGTTTCTTAAAGACGGCGCCTCTATAGTAGCGGCATCTCTTCTATAACGTACATCTACATCATCTAAAGTACATCTAAAGTCTATTTCATTCCGACTTTAATGTTTTCTGAGAGCGTCATTCAGATCTAGGTTGTTTTAGCGTGTCGGCGTTGTGCTGTCGGCGTTGTGCTGTCGGCGGCGGCAGCAGCTGAGACGCTCTGTAGCGACTTGTTTAATAGTTGAGGGTTGATCATAGATTGTGTGACTCTGCAAATGTGTTAAAAGGTTGGAGGATAAGTTGGCTGCATATAGTTAAAATCGTGCATTTCTTCTCTCCCGGAAAAAAAACAAACAAACAATCTAGCCCATGTGCTCAAAGTGACATAAGCACCAGCAGGAGACAGTCTGTGGTTTTCCCACTTTCCCAGTTTGCTCTGCGCTTACCCAGGTTTTTTTAGGCCCGAGCCCCGAACGGGGTAAGGGCCTATTGCTTTCACAATGGTGAAAACAAATGGTGGCGGTGCGTGACGGACGCGTCAGCGCCCGTCACTCACCAAAATGTGACGGTTGCGTGCGTAAACTCAAAAGCTTTAAAATGATGTATCAGGTGCCATTGAAACCTATATTGTTTTTGCTCGAGACGTTAAAAAAAGAATTCCTTTTTTATTAGGCCCGAGCCCCGAACGGGGTAAGGGCCTATTGCTTTCACAATGGTGAAAACAAATGGTGGCGGTGCGTGACGGACGCGTCAGCGCCCGTCACTCACCAAAACGTGACAGTTGCGTGCGTAAACTCAAACGCTTTAAAATGATGTATCACATGCCATTGAAACCTATATTGTTTTTGCTCGAGACGTTAAAAAAAAAATTCCTTTTTTATTAGGCCCGAGCCCCGAACGGGGTAAGGGCCTATTGCTTTCACAATGGTGAAAACAAATGGTGGCGGTGCGTGACGGACGCGTCAGCGCCCGTCACTCACCAAAACGTGACAGTTGCGTGCGTAAACTCAAAAGCTTTAAAATGATGAATCACATGCCATTGAAACCTATATTGTTTTTGCTCGAGACAAGTCGAAAAAAAAATTCCTTTTTTATTTATTATTAGGCCCGAGCCCCGAACGGGGTAAGGGCCTATTGCTTTCACAATGGTGAAAACAAATGGTGGCGGTGCGTGACGGACGCGTCAGCGCCCGTCACTCACCAAAACGTGACGGTTGCGTGCGTAAACTCAAAAGCTTTAAAATGATGTATCACGTGCCATTGAAACCTATATTGTTTTTGCTCGAGACGTTAACAAAAAAATTCCTTTTTTATTTATTTCTTTCTTTCTTTCTTTTTTCTTCTGCACTTTGAGCCTTAATTTGACCCCCTGAACATGCATAAAAAGTTGTTAATTTTGGCCCAAAAATCAGACCTGGCGAAAAATTTCATATTTTGGTGTTTATTTTTATGGGACTCAAAAAATGACAGAACAGCGCCACCTACAACAGCCAAAATAATACCCCTATGGGACTTTTCGGAGGTCAAGTTTGTCGTAGAAACATGAGATTTGGTACACATGTTCCTCAAGTCAAGACAAGAAAAAAATATTATTATTGCCCCGCCCTCTGACAAACAGGAAGCCCATAAATTTCACTGCAAAATGGAAAAATGAACAGCAACAGTTTTCATACATGTCGGTTGGAAAGCGACTCCTCCTCGGCCGTTTCACCGATTCGCCTCAAAATCGCTCCACATCATCTCAACACATGTACCTTCAAAATGACCTCAGGGATTTTTGATCAGTGGAACATTGTTTGAGCAGCGGAGCGGCAAAATGTGACCTTTTTTTGGCCGTTTTTGACAACATTAAATTTGCTCCCGTTTGCACAAACAAAGTCTGATTTGCACAAAACTTTAATACATTGTTCAACTCTAAAGTCTAGGTCGTTTGAAAGTGAATTAATTCAAATTGACACATTAGCGCCCCCTACAGACTATTTCAAAATTTTAGATGGGCATTTTCAAATTTAGTTTTTTCAAAATGTTTGAAATTTTGTACATAAATCTGTTTTGCCCTCTTGATTCAAAAAGTCAATTGAGTCCAAGGCTTATTTTTTACCCTGTTGCCGTGGCGACGACAAACGCTCCCCTTTCATTGCAAATGTACACCTCACACAAACATCAAACCAGCCTCGGCCGTTTCACCGATTCGCCTCAAAATCGCTCCACATCATCTCAACACATGTACCATCAAAATGACTTCAGGGAATTTTGATCCGTGAAACGTTGTTTAAGCAGCAGAGCGCCAAAAAGTGAGGTTTTTTTTGGCTCTTTTTGACAACATTAATTTTGCTCCTGTTTGCACAAACAAAGTCTGATTTGCACAAAACTTTAATCCATTGTTCAACTCCAGGGTTTAGGTCAGGTTAAAGTGAAATATTGGAAATTGGCCCATTAGCGCCCCCTACAGACTGTGTCAAAGTTTACATGGGGAGCCAAACCAGCTCTACTTATCATGTTCATTACAATTTGACTAACATTCTTCTATGGCTACTGGAACAAATCATCACACGGCGGTGCCACCTCCTTTTAGCGGTGCTGCGTGGTACGGTGTGGTGCGGCGTAGTGCGGGGCGTTGTGGAGCGGCGCGTTGCGGCTTGGTGCGGGGCGGCGTGGTGCGGGACGGCGTGGTGCGGGACGGCGTGGTGCGGGACGGCGTGGTGCGGGACGGCGTGGTGCAGGGCGGCGTGGTGCGGGGAGTGCGCGCGGTGCAGGGAGTCGCGCGGTGCGGCGAGGGCCGTTCGACGCCGCTTGCGGCTTTAATTAGGCCCGAGCCCCGAACGGGGTAAGGGCCTATTGCTTTCACAATGGTGAAAACAAATGGTGGCGGTGCGTGACGGACGCGTCAGCGCCCGTCACTCAC